CAATCCATGTCAAAAGGTGCTGAGAAATTATCTGAAAGAATTCATAATGTTGAATTTGATAATCAAAATCTGTTAAAAAGTTGTTGTAAGTTAGCACATAGAAGAACTCTCCAGGTAGGTGATCTGCACATCACCCAAATAATATCCAAGAATGATAAGTTATTTTTAATGGAAGAATTTCATACCTTGGAATCACATGTGCAGAATGAGGACCAGAGGTTATGTGAGTTGATGAAATCGTTAGAAATATTCACAGGTCAAGAGATTCCGGCTTTACAAAAGGCACTGGTAAAAAGATTTGAAATGATTGAGGAAATTATCGGAACTGATGAGCAGGGAGAGAAGGTACAATGAAAGGATTTCACATTGCCAGCACTTGTCAGAGCCAGAGATGACTTACTAAGAGTTTTAGCTACTTACCCCATAATCACCTCTGACAAACCATCAATTACTAAATACCCAAAAAGATCCAGAGTGTAGATGGAAACCTATAAGTATGAACATCTAAAACAAACACATTTATTAAAAGTTATGGCCATCATAGGTATACCTGCACAAATAAAGACAGATAATGGTCCAGCATATGTCTCTTAGAGAATGAAACAGTTTTTTGGTTATTATGTTACAAAGCATATTACAGGTATACCAAATAATACTACAGGTCAGGCAGTTATAGAAGAATCAAATCAAACTATAAAGGATATATTAAACAAACAGAAAAGGATGGAAAATACCCCCCAGAAATAGATTGCATAATGCTTAATTAACATTGAACTTTTTAACGCTAATGAGAAAGGAATAATGGCAGCAGAGAGACATTGGATAATAGAAAAATCTTCTGAATTAAGTCAGCTGGTGTATTTTAAGGATGTGTTCACCTCAGAATGGATATCAAGAATTGTGCTACATTGGGGAAGGGGTTTTGCTCTTGTCTACACATGAGAAGGAAAGCTATGGATACCATCAAAATGAATAAACATTCCGTTTGAAAAAGAGAAACCTCTTGTGAAAGAGAAATGACAGATCACCCACAGAAGTGACAACCATACAGGTGGTTGTTTTATTGTGCTATTCATTTTTTTTCCTGCTCCCCTCCTCTCTTCTGCTCTCCCCTTCTACCCTTCTTGTGACCCCAATTTACTCTTTTTCTCCTATTTGGATCCATGTATGGGTCCTCTTTGTTGTCTAGCTTCTCTAAGGTTGTGGACTATAGGCTGGTTTTTCTTTGCTTTAGGTCTAAAAGCTGCTTATGAGTGAGTACATATTATATTTGTCTTTCTGGTCAATATGCTTTGTTCTAGATCCATCCATTGGCCTGCAGATTTCAAGATTTCATTATTTTTTTATCACTCAATGAAAAAGTTTTTTGAGTAAATACATTTTATTCAGAAGAAGATAATAGTGTGTACTTTATTTAAAACCAACCAAGCACTGATAAAAGTATGTATCCTGGCATCCATGATTCCACATTAAACCTTATCAATAAAAATGGGCATTTAGTCTTCATATCTTGTGCTGGAGCTGGCATAAGATACTTCCTTCCACAAGGGCCCTAAAGGCCAAAGCCAAGAGGGAGCAAGTGCCCTGGTAGAGCGGGTTAGTGGCAGGCTTGCTCTGGGCTCTGTAGAACAGATCAGGAGAAGGTCCTGCTCTTCCCAGCTGCTGGAACATAACACTGATCAACAGTTGCTCAATGATGGCAGAGAGTGGACAGGAGGAAAAATGCAAGACATTGGATCCTCCTGCCTTTTCCAAGGTCCCTGAAATCCCGAAAGGGCATTTGGAAGTTCTTGCAGGGCCCCAGCTGCAGGAGAGTTAGCCTCTGATTTGGCTGCAGGAGAGCTGAAATTCTGCAATGGACTCCTCTCGCTGAACACAAAGTAGCCATAGCACACTTTCCTACATTCAGTGTGGCAAAGGGCAATTGGAAAGTGCTGTTGACTCCCATTAAGGCATTTGTAACAGAACCTAGATGTGTAGGCCTTCAGAGACCCTATTTTCCCTTATCCTCAGGTCTAGCATCTCCTGCCCCTTCCCACTGTCTTTTTAGTAAGACAAAATTATGGAAATTTGATGAATTAATCTGTTTTCCCTCTTCCTAAAAAATACTATATAATCTGGAGATTCTTGGGGTATTATCTTCATCCATACACGCACCTCTAACTCTTTACCCCGAGCTCCCATTGTTATTTATCAAAAACAGGTCCAAAACTTAATCATTACTCTTCACTTTGAAGCAACAGTATATCATGGCCATGTAAATACTGGTACATCTTATAGGGATTGTCACTGTAAAAAGCAATGGATGTAATGATTATAGGCAGAAACTTAAACACAAAGTTAAATCAGAATTATTTTGCAATTTGACTATATTTATAGTGATTGTCATATAGCCAGAATAAGTTTGCAAAGCAAAGACTGATAGATGTATGCTGAAGAGAAAAATCAAAACAGAGGTTGTTTAATGTTTATATTGTTTTGATAAACTTGTTGACATAGTTGAAATAATGACAAACAGTAAAATAAAAAAAAGCAAAGTAAGGGTGACAATGATGATGTCTTTAAAAGCTACAAGATGTTGGAATAATTTGCTACCATGAGATCTTTTTCGCAAAAACAAAGGTAAGCACTAACTGACAACATATACTTCAGAACTAAAAGGCTATTTCTACACGAAGCAGTATTAAGGAAGAACTGGTATTGGAGTATAGACAGGTGTTTCTGTCCCACCTGGTCTTTACAGCCATTCAATCCCAAATAAACACACATAGATTTATAATAAACTGTTCTGTCTATTGCTCAGGCTTATTAGTAACGAGCTCTTACAACTTAAATTAACCCATAATTCTTATCTATGTTTAGCCACGTGGCTTTGTACCTTTTCTCAGTAAGGCATTATAATCTTGTTTCCTCTGTCTGGCTCACAACTGGGTCTCTGCCTTTCCTCTTCCCAGAATTCTCCTAGTCCTGTCACCCCACATATACTTCCTGCCTTTCTACTGGCCAATTAGTGTGTTATTAAACCAATAAGAGTGACAAATCTTTACAGTGTACAAGAGTATTATCCCACAGCATTGCAGGAAAGTAATGATATTGAGACTAAATTTCTATGACCATTTAAAATTCTTTTATTTTTAATTTTAAGTGTATGGGTAGTTTCCATGAAAGCATGTGTGTACCAGGTATGTGCATGATACCAGTGGAGGACAAAAGAGGGCTTTGGATCCTCTGGAACTGAAGTTACAGATGGTTGTGAGCTGCCATTTGAGTGCTGGGAATCGAACCCAGGCCTTCTGGAATTGGAGTGTTCTTAACTGCTAAGCACCTCTTTTTTGTTTAAAGTACATTTTTTTTCCAAAAATAAAGTTTGAATGCTATTTTCCAAAGAGCTACGGTCCTGAAACAATTAAGTGAGATGAATGTCTGAAGAGTTACAAGTAAAAGGTTTGACTCTGTTAAATTTTAGGCATTTTGATGTAATCTTTTAGTTGATTTATATAAAGCTTTGTACTTTTCATTTACTCAAGCTTGTCACTGTGTGATGTATGGTACATTGTAACATCAAATTTGCTATAAGCAATAGAGCCAGGGTCCCAAAGAAACTTTAATAGTGATTTCTCAATTTTTAATCCAGATCTTTCCATTATTCAGGGTTTTTTTTTTTTTTGGTTAGTGATCTCATGTCTAATTGGTATCATTTTCATACTTAAATCAATAACTTACAGCAACATAAAATTTAAGAAAATTAAGTTTGTTATTTTATATTATAAGGTGTTTAAGTATCATCTTTAAAATGTTCACTAACAATCTCTATATTTTGTATTGTGCACTACAGCTTTCTTAGACATCTTTTTCTAATAATTACAGAGGAAAGTGATGTAAATTTGTGTGTGATATATAACAGAAAGGCATATATAAAACTCTTCATGAAGAAAAAAATGAGGTTTAAAAAAATGACAGTTCATATATAAATTAATTTTAAAGTTATATCTGGATCTCATAGCTGATTCAGATGACAAGAAAATGAAAACGGACCAGTCCACAAGAAATCTGCAAAAGAGTAGAAATGATTAATGCTTAAAACAACTGCTTAAAATAAAGTTGCCACAGAAAGAGAAGAAAGCATTGGAACAATTTAACTGGTGTGGTTAAATGTAAGTATTTGAATTCAATTTCGCTCCATGGCTAGGATACAATCAGGTTAAAAGAAGAAGAATGCAAAGTGTATATGGCAGAAGAAGAAAGGTCAAGGGAGGAAGGAAGTAATGGCAAAACAACGGAGTATCAACTGGTTTTGTCTGATAAGCAAGGATGTTCAAAGCGAGTCCAGAGACCAAGACTGCTAAAAGACCTTACAACATTTTGACACATGGTTTGCAGTTTATAGTTTATAGTTTTCTCCTTAAAGTAGAAAACAATGTTCAACTGTGTGAACCAACCACTACAAAGAAGCAGTTCTCAACCTGTGGGTTTCGACACCTTTGGGGTTGAATGATCCTTTCATAGGGGTTGTCTTAAGACTTTCGAAAAAACGCATGTATTTATATTATAATTCATAACCGTAGCAAAATTACAGTTATGAAGTAGCAACAAAAATAATTGTTTTTTTGTTTTGTTTTGTTTTGGTTGAAGGTTCACCACAACATGAGGACCTGTATTCAAGGTTCACAGAATTAGAAAGGCAGGTAACCACTGCTATAGAGGGAAAGCAACAAGGCAGTGAAATTCATATAAAGAGTAAAAGAGCAAGTGGCCAACTTAAGAGAAGTTAGGGAAGACACAACTTTCAAGGGGAGATGGACAGGAGTATGGGATAATGTAGGAAAAACATGTAAGTGCAATATGAAGGAGCTCTTTGCTCTTTCCTGTGGATGCATGGGACTAGCTGCCAGAGTTCCAGACTATGTCCTGGAATAAAAGCCAAATAGCCTGTCCTCCACTGTGTTGCTTTTTGTCAGAATATTTACTATAGCAATGGAAATAAACCAGACCATTCACCATCAAGTAATTATGCTCTTTAATAGTTATACAAATGAACTGAATTTGCATTTATAGAAAATTTGTACATGAATGTTGATAGCAGCTTTATTCACAGTCACCAAAAGTAGAAACAGTCATAACAAGACACAAGGGAACCAAATGCATATTAATAACTGATATTAATACATGATATTCTGGAAAATCACATTGGTGACCCCTTGATTACAGTAAGCTTATTTGTCTAGATAGAGTAGTCTTCTTCATTTTCTGATTCCTTTTCTCCAAGACATGGGGTAAGAAAGAAAGGGAGGAAAGAAGTGTGAAAAGGAAATGTCAGAGAGAGAGAGGTGGGTAATAAAAAGGTCCTGAGACTTGTTATCAAAAAAGAAAGTGAAGAGGAGGCAGAAAGACCTAAGGACCAGAGGATCATGGGGTTTGCTTCTTCCAGGAATCTGAAGCTGCACCCATGACGCCTTACTAAGGTGGCTGCCTTAACATGAGCGCAACAAGCAGGACACCAGCAGCCATGCTGCTTCAACAAAGGACTTCAGGCAATTAAGGAATGTTGAGAGCAGAAGAAACTGTCTTCCCCAGGAAAGAGCACACCAATTGGTATCCAATAAGAAATGGCCAGGCCTGAAAACATACATACAGGCATCTTTCTACAGATTAAGCAAGTTGTATTTATGTACTTAAGAAAGTGTGCATGTGTATGTGTGTGTAGAATGAGCGAGACAAAGTGGGAGAGACGCAGAGACGAAAAGAAACAGAGAGACATAGAAAGGGTTATGTATATAACAACAGGAAGTGGGGAAAAAGTCTTTAATTTGAAAGTGAGCAAAGAGGGGTGTGGAGGAAAGGGAGAGGGGGAAGATGATGTAATTACATTATAATCTCAAAAAATAAAAGAAATTATCTTTTAAAAAAGAAAGTGAGGAAATTGGCACTATTAGAGAAGAGTTAACTGAAATTTTTCCAGTTAATCAATGTCCCATTATATTTTTTTGAAAAGGAACAAAACCATAATGAGAAAAGTTGGTCAAAATAATTTTTAAAATGCACCATAAATTTTCAAGAATGATGTATATAATTAGTTGTTTCGTTATTCCCAGGTACTGAAGACACCTACAAGGAAACAAAAGAATGAAAATTTGACATAATTCTTAATGTCAATAATATCATATCTCAAAGAAACAACAGCTCTCTGCAGCGGGCTAATGTCCTGTGACAATGAACTACCAAGAGAACCCTAGTGGGTTACCTGGTGAAGCTAAGCTTCGAGCTGAACAATGCTTAAGGGAGGGGTTAGTGTTTCAGGTTCTTAGCTGTGCTCACGGCAGCAGAAGTAGAGGAAGTCTAAAATAAGGGGTCCTTTTTTAAATTTGGAAAGTGTTTGGATGGAATAAATAACCCTTTGATGTCACCAATTTTTGATAAAAGGTCACCAATGTCTACTTTTAGCTCAGTCCAATGATCTATAGGTATCCAAACCTGTTCATCATTAATTTTTTCTGCGAGATTTACATGCATATTTATTTATTTATTTACTTATTTGTGTGTGTTGTGTTGTGTGTGTGATGATGTTTGCATAGTAAATGCTTTCACTATTTTTTTTTATTTAAAAAACTATCTCTTCTCATTTTACATACCAATCACAGTTCCCACTCCCTCCTCCCACACACTCCTAATTGCTGAGTCGTCTTGCTGGCCCTAGTAAGTACTCTTTTCTTACTGACTTCATCCTGAGATTTGGGGAACCACTGTTTTCCTTCTACTTTTAGAGAAGCCATCTTCATCTGAAAACATCATTGTGATTCCCTGAAACATAGACAGCTTATGCGTGTGCCTCAGGAAGTAAGCAAGAAAATAGGTCACAAGACCCTTTCCTATTATTTGTGCTTTCTATCATGACTCTCTTTTTCCTTACATAACTTCACTGAAAACAGAGGGTAACTCTGTAGGTCTTTCATACAAATATCTAATACATATCTTCACCTATCCCCAAAGACAGATTCAACAGGCATCTGCTCCATCCTGATCACCACCAATGTACTGAAAATAACACTTTGTTTTATTTTCCTGCATTTTGTTTCATCTTCCATCTTTTTGTCATTTTTCTTATTTATAATGTCTAGAGAACTTTTCTCTCTCCTTTTTTCCCCTCGAAAGCCTTCCATAATGAAAATCTAACTAACCATCAAGCCTTTCCCCAAATGCTCATGCACTGCAACCTGATTATCCTGCTAGATGACTTATTGGTTTTATACTGTGCTTGTCTTCTTAGTGTTTATCATTCTTTTATCAATTAACCTTCAGTCTCTTCAGAATGTAAGGCTTTTTGTGTTAGACATTTTTCAAAAACTGTAAGTATTTGTAAAAGTATTAGTTGTTGACTGATGTTGAAATCTACTTCTCTGTTCCATTGCCTACTGTTAGAGAATCACACAAGAGAACTAACCTATACTATACCTGTCACTTGTCTGAATCACTGCCATTGGACAGTTACTCACCTTTTCTTCCAGGTGCAGCTCTGAAAGTCGCAGATAAGCCACAGGTGCAAATGCATCAGCGGAGTGTATGACTACTTCTGAGGAGTCTCTGCAACACAGATAATTTAGTGTACTTACCAAATCCATACCTGTGGCTAATCACTCCAGTTGCCAACAGCAGACACCTGAAATCTGCCAATACTAGGAAACACTGACACTTTTCCTATGTAAAGGGACCCACAGTTCACATTTAAGTTTCTGCAACTCTCTGGAGACCTCAACTGTTCAATTGCACTTCACAAATGTGCTTGACATGGGCTAAACATTAAGCGTCATTGCTTGGTCTTCAATGTGCCTTTATTTTTAAGACTCGGTGCTTCAGACACAGTCTAAGTCATCCTTCACAAAGGCAAGTTGGTTGAGGTGGCTGCACTCTTCACACTGTAGGGTCACTGCTATCAACACTGCTTATTTGACAGGATAATTACTACATTCAGGTAACACTGTACGAACTGCTTGCTGCCTCCATATGGGCACATGCAAATTTACTCAAATTTGAATAACGATACCCTGTAAATATAAATAACTAAGATTATTTGTGAAATTAATAACTATTTTTGTTTATTAATACAGCAATAATGTTTCTCAATTCAACTGAAAATATAAAAATAGAAATTCCAAATATCTCTTTTAATTTCTCATGAATCATTTCCATTGGTTATATTATTAGCAGCTGGCCATTGCAAGGTTGGTAAGCTCATCTTTAACTCTTTTCTTTTTCTTCTTCTTCTTCTTCTTCTTCTTCTTCTTCTTCCTCCTCCTCCTCCTCCTCCTCCTCCTCCTCCTCCTCCTCCTCCTTCTTTTAAAAACCAGATTGATTTATTTTCATTTTGTGTGTGTGAGTGTTTAGTCTGCATATATTACCATGTGCATGTCTGGTCCCCACAGAGCCTAGAAAAGGTCATTGGATTCCCTGTAACTGGAGTTAAAGATGGTTTTCAGTCACTATATAGGTTCTAGGAATCAAACCTGGGTCCTCTGGTAGAGCATCAGATGTTCTTACCTGCTGAACCATCTCTCCAGTCCAGTTAATTTGACTATATATATATTTTTAAAAATTCAAATTATTTTTATGCTTTTACTTTATTTTAAAACTAAAGTGTGTGTAGGTGTGTGCACGTAACTGGACAATGCCTGTGGAGGTCTGGAGTTACAGGCAGCTATAAGATGTTAGTGCTGGGAGTTGAACTTGGGTCCTATGCAAGAGCAGTATATGCTCTTAACAGCTGAACTGAGCCATCTCTCTAGACTCTTCAACTCTTTGCAACTAGCTTAAAACATATGTCAATAAGGTTTTACTCATTAGAAAGTTATGTAGTTATGAAGAAAGAACCACAAAATACTTGAGTCCAGAATACTGAATTTTCACAAGAAAATGTTTGTTTCATTTGCAAAATGTAAAATATTAAAACTGCATATTTGATGATTAAAAACAATACATATTCATGAATATTTACTATTAAAAATGCATCTATGCATATTTGAATAAAATAACATTAAACAGACAATGTTGGAAGAAAAGAAACTTATATAAATTGACCCTTTAAAAATCAGGTTTTGGATAAAAAGATATAACTAGCTTTCACAGATTACATCAACATAAAGATGCTTTCAGAGAGAGAAAGAGAGAGAGAGGCATACAGACAGACTCATATACAGACATACAGAGAAACAGGAAGGGAACTTGTCAGGAAGAAGGTTCTTACTTAATAGACATTCTCTGACACCTTTCACACAGTGGCAGGACTAGTATTTGTGTGTCGTGAACTGCATAAAGCTTGAGTTGCTATAGCTACCAGGTGAAGATGCTGAATTGTTTCACTGTTAAAGTACCACAATGCTGAGATCCTTTCACGACAAAGTGGAAAGCAGTACTTCTTACAACTAGGTGTTTATGAAGACCTTGGGGTTCTCAGAGTCATCAGTCTGTCAGAAGGACATCCCTTTGCATGTCTTGTTTTTCGTTTTCTGTGTTTAATCTTGTGTTAATAAGTAAATCTATTCTTACTTTTTCAATTATATTCTGTTTTCCCAAACATGCAAATTATTTTTTTAATAATAAGCAGCACTGTTTCATGGAAGTATACTTCCTGTATACAAAATCCTTTTGTGATCTGCATGTCCATAAAAAATTTCTCCCATCTACAAACTTTTAGGAAATAACTTTGCTCTCTTCTATCAAAGTTAATACACAGATATGTTTTCACTTTGAGCTTATAAAGGAAGAAATAATAGGCATCAATAGTGACCAGCAGAGTTTGATAGAAACAACAGACACTCCATGATAAAATGACAAATATATCAGTGATGTTAATTAGTAATGCAAAAAAAGTTAGGAGAACATGAAAACAAATCATGAATACTGGATTTGGGGATGAAACAGTTTTAGTCTTAATTACCGAGATTATTCCCTTGCCCATTATTAATTGTTCAAAGAATTCAAATCTTTTTGTTTGTTTTCTTTCAGAGTCAGGGTTTCTTTTTGTAGCCTTGGGTGTCCTGAAACTCTCTGTAGACCAGACTGGTTTCAAACTCACAGAGATCCACCTGCCTCTCTGCCTCCCATGCTGGGATTCAAGGTCTGCAGCACCACAGTCCAGCTTAATGCTGGAGAGTAGCAGAGCTAGTCATTCATCAAGCATCTTTTTCAGGAAGCATGAGTGTAGGAGAAACAAAACAAAAACAACACAGGAAATACTCTTCCAGCAGACACATAACATAGCTAATAAGGTGATGAACTAGACTAAGTTCCCATTGTCTCATTTACCAACTTTTACCATTTATGGCAGAGGTACCACACTGCTCATAATAAACTGAATCTGCTTCAAAAAAGTTTATATGTAAAAATACCCCTCCCCCAGAACTCAATAGAAATGTCTAGTCTCATCATTCTAACTTGTTAAAGCCAAGAAAGAGGAAAAAGAGGACGGAGTTAATGGAACCCACGGGCTACTGATGTGGTAGTTTATCAAACGTAGCTGTAATGAAAGATAAATAATACAGGCAATTCACACTTCAGGAAAGGATAAAAGTGTCAGTGTGTAGGCACCAGTTTTACTGCAAGCCGTAATCAGCAAGTAAACGAAAGTGCAATGTCTAAAAAGTTTACAGCCTTCTATGAAGGCCTATCCTTGTCGGGTATTGATTTAAGTATTCACACGACTTCCTTGGGATTAAACAAATTGAGTGTTTGTGAACTTTAGGGACATGTTCTATTTCTTCCAACCAAAGCTGCCTCAAGCTAAATGCTGAGTTGCTTCTATCACTTAAATTTAAGAAAAGGGAAGAAGCTGAAATGGTGTCTTACACAATGATTTTCTTCTTAAATAGAGGGCAATCCAAAGTGAATGTTTCATACTCGCCACCTTCCCCACATACGTGGACACCATACTTCTTAGAAAGCTGAGGATCATGAAAAACAAAGAAAAGGAATCATTAAGATAATACCCTCAAAATACTCATTTAGCAGATTATCCACTCCTAAAAACTAATTCAGGATACTGATTCTAAAATATATTGTAGGCTACAGAAGGACTATTATAGGATACTAAAAACAGTGAATTTCCAAAGTTGTAGAAAGTCTTTTTAAAAAGTTCTTATGTTTTAATAAGGTTCAGTTTATGAAGCTATCTAATAATACCTGGAAATAAAAAAGCAAGCAAGCAAGAAAAAACAAAATAAACTAAAAAGCTCCAAAGCAACAAACAATCAAACCCGTCTTATTTGTTTTCACTATAAGCCATTATGTGGTAATCTTGATACTGAGTACAAGCCCTACGGCTAATACACACTGGGCATCAGTGTTGAGGTCGCTTGCACAGGCTGTCATTGATACTGATCTTTCAGATTCTCTGTAGGAAGTTTTGCCATCACAGTTCTATGGCTCCTTGCTTCAGAATGTAATAGCTTTTCATGCTCAATGGTGCCAAAAGTCCAAATCTTTTCAGCTTGGAGGCAGGAGTCCTTTTCCTTACTATCAATGACGTGGCTACTTCTTAAGTCTTCAGTTTTCCCTGCATGTTACAAGCTTACTTGAGGATTTTTGTACTTGTGCTACTCTTCTGACTTCGTGGCTTCAGTGTAGACCTATGAGCATTCTACTCCTCACGTTGAGAGTCAGAAGTGATGTGAATGACACTGGGTTGTTTGAATGCACCAGCCCCCATAACCTCACAGGGAGTGGCACTATTAGGACATGTAGCTTTTTTGGAGTGGGTGTGGCCTTGTTGGAGGAAGAATGCCACTCCGGGAGTGGGATATGAGGTTTCCTACGCTCAGGATACTGCTGAGTCTATCAGTTGAGTTCCTGTGGCCTACAAGATACAGAACTCTCAGCTATTCCTCAAGCACTATGTCTGTCTGCATGTTGTCATGTTCCTTGTCATGATAATAATGGAAGGACCCTCTGAACTGTAAGCCACCCCAATTAAATGTTTCCTTTATAAGAGTTGCTGTGGTCACAGTGTCTCTTCACAGCAATAAAAGCCCTAAGCAAGACACATTGTAAAGCCAAACAGCAAAGAGAGTGTGGAGGAGAACTGGATAGTGTTTTCTATAAGGGCTCCAAAGGGCAAGATAGAGAAACTTTTGCCTGGCTCATAAAGCAGAGACTCTGCAGAGCCAAATGATGAGAGGTGGTCCCTATGGGACCAAATAATAGGACAAGACTGCTTTGTCATACCAAACTAAATTAAATTAATGCCTTTTCTGCAATAAAAACCATACAGCAATAATAATGAGATATGGATTTCCAGGTATTTATTTCTTCCGCACTTGGTGTTCAACTGATTTTCTAACAACTTCCCACCATGGACCTTCTAATTTCACCTTTATGACTCACTGCCCAGATTATGTGGAGAGTATATATGATCAATACTTAGATTTTCTTCACTGCCAAATGTCTCATTGAAACTCTCTGTTGTTTTTGTAATACAAAGAATAACTGGAGTGATAAAGTCTGTGGGACTGCTACAGCCTATAGAAGTGATTCTGTTAGTCCCTGTAAAGGAAACATAAGCTGCAATGTTACTTCAACATTTGCTTTCAAGAGGTACACAAGACATCTGTATGTGCTCTGCAATATCCTCAGTTATAGTAAATATTATTAATATTCATTTATCCTATCAATTATCTCTTCAACAAATGTTTATTGAGCAGCATTGAGACATTAAAAAATAAAAAACAAAACACTTTCTTTAGTTCTTGAAATTCACCACAAATATAATGCATTCACATAGCAGTGCCACAAAATAATGATTAAACCATGATGTTGCCTATATCAACCAATATTTAGCACCTTCTTTCCTTCTCTATTATTAATTTACCAATATAGAAATATAGCTTTCTAGTTAAGAAATTTGGATAAAAGCCCTAGTGGTCTCTAAGACTGACAAATCACTAAGTATTCTTACTGAATCCTGATATTTCTGTTGCTTCTCTAAGTTCAATTAGCTTCATGCTATAATACAAGTGAGTTATAAACACAAATTCTAAGGTTCTTGATAACGTGATAGTATATTCTTCAGAGGTGAAAGTTAATCATATCTACTTTGTTCAGAGAATTGGTACTCTACTAAAATACAAGATTCTTGTAGTATAAAAGCACGAAATATCCATGGTACAGAAAATGTCACTTTCCATAAGTTTCTATAAGTTTAGGATCCAAAAGTATAGATTCCAGAGAAATATTCATGAAGTATACCTTTAATGTATTTTTATAAGACTTGAAATCATGTTTATACTGTTCACACAAAGTAGCAATAGTCCTCATTCATCTCAGTTCTGGCTGCATCTTCAAACTGGAAATATCACATGCTCTACTTAGCTACTCCTCGATAATATTCTGCCAGCATTATTACAAGGAAAAAACCAAATGATGTTTCTCTTTGGTTTAGCATCATAATAAAATTTTGTTATTCTTTTCCATCTCTTTTTAAGATTTACTTTTTCCTTTCCTTTACATTCTTCAAATTTAATATGCATAAAAGAAATGTTCTTATCTCCCCACACCCTAATTCTCTAAATACAACAATGCAAACAAGGGTTGAAATACTAGTGGAGAGCTTAAGTCTGTGCTTCTGTTCTACATGCAGGCTGATTTTTGAAAGTTCATTAATTCATTTATTGACTTGAAAGCTCTACCAAGAACTTTGCAGTTGCAGATTCTATCATGTACACTAGAAGCATGGCCATGAACAAGGAAGAGAATGCACCACTTTTAAGGCTCTGATGACCACTTTGCAACTCAACTCTCAAAAACAAGTTCCTCTCTTGCCTTCTATATTCACCTTTCCAATTCCCTCAATATTTTTCTTAATGCTATATGTACAACATTCTGCTCAAAATCTTGGGTGGTCAATCACTGTTTTCTCAGTAAAATTAACTATTTAAGTCATAACCAAAGGCTTCCAGCATTCTGTCCTGTCCTATATATGAATATATAGGCACTGGAGTAATTGGCAGATTTGGAAAGATTCTGATTGACTTGAGAAAATTAAAAAAAAATAACTTTATAAAGTAAAATTCAAAGTGAGGAACATAAGACCCAAATGAGTCTCCTTCTTTTCAACATAGACAATCAGTCTATGGTACCTTATCCTGCTCTGAGAATCATTATGGATCAGATGTGAGCATGCTCCATAAGAAAAGCCTGACTGGCATGCAGTGACAAGTTAAATTTGAACAGGAAACAAATAGCCCCTGTCTATCAAGAATAAGAAGGAAAAGTCACTGATGTCTTCTATTCTATTCTCGGAAACAGGATAAAAATTTTCCATTTTTCGAGATCTAATGCAGTGTTTTTTATTAGACATTGAATAGGTGATGTCACTATTTTCCTCTTCCCTCACATTTAATTATTTGGAAAGTTGAGTTAACACAGAAATTTATAGAGATCATATGGCCAATGGGTAAGATGAACACACTTGTTACTTTTCTGTATTTTGCTTGATTAAGAAATAAGTTACTGGGAGCCGGGCAGTGGTGGCGCTCGCCTTTATTCCCAGCACTCGGGAGGCAGAGGCAGGAGGATCTCTGTGAGTTCGAGGCCTGCCTGGTCTAGAAGAGCTAGTTCCAGGACAGGAACCAAAAAAAGCTACAGAGAAACCCTGTCTCGAAAATAAAAAAACAAAATCACAAGAAATAAGTTACTGGGGACATCGCCCTGGGCACCTGGGAGCCCCTCTAGGTTCAAGTCTCTTGCCAACCCTAAGGTGGCCCCCTTAATTAAGATATATGCTTCCCTGCTCCCATATCCATCCTTCCTTTATCCCAACCATCCCGTTTCCCCAAGTTCTCCCCATCCTCCCCTTCTCACTTTTCTCTCCCCATCTCCCCTTACCCCCATACCCCCCACCCCCAAGATCCCAATTTTTTGCCTGGCAATCTTGTCTACTTCCCATATCCAGGAGGATAACTATATGTTTTTCTTTGGGTTCACCTTCTTATTTAGCTTCTTTAGGATCACAAATTATAGACTCAATGCCCTTTATTTATGGCTAGAAACCAATTATGAGTGAGTACATCCCATGTTCATCTTTTTGGGTCTGAGTCACCTCACTCAGGATAGTGTTTTCTATTTCCATCCATTTGCATGCAAAATTCGAGAAGTCATTGTTTTTTACCGCTGAGTAGTACTCTAATGTGTATATATTCCATACTTTCTTCATCCATTCTTCCATTGAAGGGCATCTAGGTTGTTTCCAGATTCTGGCTATTACAAATAATGCTGCTATGAACATAATTGAACAAATGCTTTTGTAATATGATAGGGCATCTCTTGGGTATATATTCCCAAGAGTGGTATTGCTGGGTCAAAGGGTAGGTTGATCCCGAATTTCCTGAGAAACTGCCATACTGATTTCCAAAGTGGTTGGACAATTCAGCTGAGGATAGGGAACCTGAAATGACCCTATCCTATAGCCATACTGATGAATATCTTGCATATCACCATAGAACCTTCATCTGGTGATGGAAGGAGATAGAGACAGAGATCCACATTGGAGTACCAGAATGAGCTCCCAAGGTTCCAATGAGGAGCAGGAGGAGGGAGAACATGAGCAAGGAAGTCAGGACCGTGAGGGGTGCACCCACCCACTGAGACAGTGGGGCTGATCTATTGAAAGCTCACCAAGGCCAGCTGGACTGGGACTGAAAAAGCATGGGATAAAGCCGGACTCTCTGAACATTGCAGACAATGAGCACTGATGAGAAGCCAAGGATAATGGCACTGGGTTTTGATCCTACTTCAAGTTCTGGCTTTGTGGGAGCCTAGCCAGTTTAGATGCTCACCTTCCTAGACCTAGATGGAGGGGGGAGGACCGTGGACTTTCCACAGGGCAGGGAACCCTGACTGCTCTTCGGACTGGAGAGGGAGGGGGAGAGGAGTCGGGGGAGGGGGAGAG